AGTCAATTATAGGAATAATTGTAAGGTGGAGCACTGATTTATATAGACTAAAAAGCTGAGCTTAGGGGTGCAGAGTATGTGTACAGATTGTTCTCTTCCACCGGCAGGTGAGTACACTTATTAACACCCAGCTCTGACAAACGCTGCCTTGGCAAGACAGTGACATGCATTCCCATGGCAACCATGTGCCAAGGAGAAAGGAGGGGCTCCGGCTCAGCCTGCCCTATTTGCACAGGAGGTCACGGAGAAGCATCCAGGAAGCACAGACGACGCTGCTGGACAGAAATGTGTTAAAGCATTCTGAGTGCAATCGATCACTGTAAGGCAAGCCTCACCAGGTAATGGAAGAGCATTAGACAAACAGCAGGTCGTCATATCTAATACCATCATCTGTAGCTAAAGCAATATCCAGAGTGAAATGCTGTGTAAGCATTTCAGTAGACACTTAGCACTTATTATAAAGGACAGTGAGATAAAGACCACAAAATTTGGAAAAATTATCTAAAAATGTAGCAACGAAGACAAATGGAAATACACAGGAAGGAAGCTCAGGAGAGAGAGGGGTGAGAGAGGTAAAAGAACAGCTAATGGGGGACAATACAAGGAAGGAGAGTGAATGAACCAAACAAAGAAATAAAGTGAGTGGGTGGTAGTGCTGAAAGATGGGCGATCCCTCTTTGCCACTCGACCTCTGCCAGCAGGAGCATCTCCTTCACACACACACACACACACAAACACACACACCCTCTCCCCCTCTGACTGCCCCTTACAGACGACTCCGTACTAAAAGGCTGGTAAGTGAGGAAACCAATAGCCCTGCAGATAAAATCAAAAGCAAGGGAGCGTAGCAAACCTAAGCAATGGCCATCGTGGCTGTGGACTGAAGGCTTGAGCGTTCCAGAAAGCGCCTGATGGAAGGCCTGTGAATTATTTAAGTTCTTCCTGCCTCACATGACAAAGACAGGAGGCCAAGTCTTGCTGCTGTCTGAGACACATCCACAAAGACATGGCACCCGGCTCCAATTACCCCCCTGGCTGGACTCTACAGAGACAGCCAACATGTGCTGCTCATAACCCATTCAGCACCAACACTGAGTGAGACAAAGCATGGCACTCTCTCGCGTGCATCCAGAGAGCAAGAGCACACAATCTGAGAAGAGTCAGAGCCACACGCTGGCGTATAGCAAGTGTGGAAATCCCTGCGGCATTGCAACATTTGCCATCAAGTGTATCTGTGTTTTGACTGTAAGACTGAACAAAACCAACAGAGAAGTAGTAAAGCAACAAATATGACACAATGCCAACTTCTTGTTTCTAAAGAACAACCTCTTAAGTGAACTCAGTACTTTAGACTTCAGTACGCAGTGCGAATGTAAGGCAGGTCTCTAAATTGAAATCCCTACTCTTTGGGCCAGACTTATGTATGAGCACAGACGCAACACAAAATATGCCTTGATTTTAACTTAATACGCGCCCATAACGCACCTGATTTTTACATTTGATTTACTAAGACTGCAGCTATTTAATCAAATGGTACATAGTCCCACCCACTAACTAATGGGGCAGTCAAGACATCAAGACAGAAAAAGTAAGTTCAGTGACGAAGAGACAGCAGTGCTAATAAACAGTTCTCTCCTTCCAAAACAAAACGTATTGAGGCCGCATCACTGCATATTTTGTGTTGCATCTTCTTACACGTATATCCAGCTCCAAAAGTTTAAACAGCGTTATTCTGAAGGAAAACATTCTTTCAGTACATGTTCAAGACTCGTGTCTTTGTCTAGCCACTGTTTCTTCTGCAATTTTGAGAGGAAGTCTCTCAACAACATGTCTTTTGAGACACTAATGGAAATTAGTGTCTCAAAAGAGTGGGTATGGGTGGGTATGCTTGGTTTCAAAAGGCAGAAGAAAACAGAGGTCAAACCGGCCGCAGTGAGTTGCTAAAGCTTTCACAAATCGAGTGGAACATGTCATCAGCCATGCAAACAATATCTCCGCCTACTTTGTGCACAATCTTAACATGTTTTTTTGTGGCCCACCCTGAAATGCATATGAGTGAGGAACAGGAGCGCATACTGCGGTGTACCATGCACATGGCCCTACGCGTTTAGCCTTGTGCATCACACACGCAGAATGCATCCAATTTGCCAAAAGCAAAAGGCTTAGTACATCAGCCCTTCTGTGTTTTAATAGACAGCATGCACTGTATCCATTATAACTTTCGATTCCATAAAACAGAGACATTCTTGTTGCCTAACAGTTGTGCTTTTAGTCTTTAAAATTCTTTATACATGGTATTTACACATGGTATTCAGGATCTGACAGCTAATTTGAATTTTAATTAATGTTATTTATTTGGTATATGAATGTTCTGAAAGAACTGTTTAAAATACATAACCAAAATAAACATTAAAAAGATCCTGTATGATAATCTGATTCTGAATGCTGCTTTTTTACATTAAAAATTAAAAAATTACATTAAGATTTAGAATACTATGCAAGATTCCTTTTTGCTGTAATTTTGAGAGGAGTAGAACAGAACAAAATATCCCATTCTGAACAAGCAAGTCAGTTTTACAAGACATTGTTTAGTACCAACACTGAGAAAGCATGTGTCCATCGACTTTATTAATGCAAATTTAAATATCATCTGATTCCCTAATGCTGTGATATATTAGGACAGCACTGTAATATTGAATTTAAAGCTCAACACTAGGTCTACCTGTGCGTTCATGTGTGGGAGTGTCTAACTTTGTTTCTTCTGAGGTGCTCATTGATGACTCTCAGCCTTGAGCAATGTCTGTAGACGTCTAGCCACATGCACCACTGGCCAAATGTCTGGGCGTACTGGCCCACCACCGCCTACATTGTTTATCCTGGCTATAGAGAACTGGGCTCTAGTCCTTGTAGCTGAGTTAGCTGACTAACTCTGACAAATTCTGTTGCTTTGACAGACTGATTTTTTTCTGTCTCACAGTTTCCAATCCATCAAACACACTTAAGTATGCTTAAGCTTAAATATGCTTAATGCTTTAGCATGAGCACTCTCTTAAATAAGTCCAACCAAGCTCGTTTCAAAGTTATCCAGCTAATTAAGTTAATATGCAATGACAAATGAGACTCTGTAGCCAAACCCATGTGATCCAGTGTTCTAAGTGTGTTTTAATGGACAGCTGCTAATGCACGCATTCAGTCATGGGGGGAAATACACAATACTAAAAAGCCCTATAAGGAACAGCCTTGAGAACATGTAAAAAGAACCGCAGGCAGCGAGGGAGATGTTGGGCAAGCTGCTTCAAAGAGAGATGTGTTAGTGGACACGAACGATGGGGGAGTGCAGAGACGAAATTGATTTCCTCCCCTCACTCTCTCACTTGACACATTTGCAGAGCAAGCTGCCAACGCAGAGAGGGGGAAGCCTTACCAATACAGGAACATGATCAATACATTCTGACCTTTCCCTGGGTGCCTAATGTGTGAACACGAGAGCTCTCCTCACTGTAGCCCCTCGGCTGGGGCTGAGATTATATAACACCACAGCGTGTTTATAATGCAAATGTGGTACATCTCATGCTATTTTTTTTCCTGTTGCTGACAAACACACTGTAACCTGAATCTCTTTAATACATGCTGAGGCCAGTTATCTTTGGGATGCAATGGTAGATCACAATTTATAGAGCATGTCACTGTCACTGCGCCAGTGATGTACTAAGATTAGATGTGATGTTCCAAAGAAATGTTACAACAAAAGCAAATGCAAGTTCATTCTTTTTTCATATTTTAACCTAAAAAGTAGGCATTTGCCGAAAGGCCCCACCCCCCAGCTTGATTTCAAGACAAGCTGTAGGCCTCATATTCTGATAGCATTATATCATACGGCCTAAACTGCATGTGGTACATGAAGGATGGAAGCTCGCGTAATCTGTCCTCTCCGTGCTCAGCAGGTCCTAACCCATTTTTGCCATAAGGACACACTCCAAGTGAGAGTGACTGGCAAGCTGCCACATTTGCAATCGGATCAACGCTACATGGATGCTTGGGTGAGATACTATCTAGGTATGAACCGTGCGCACTGTCATTCTTCACAAATAATATTTAGACCTTATTTTAAGCCAAACGGCCAGCGTTCCTCACTCCAGTCTTCTTGTCCACCTGCACATAGCGTCACGCTTTTCCTGCAGTCACATCATTAGCTAATTAGTGAATTCTTCATGAGCTACAAAAGGCACATCTGGTAAAATCTGTGCATTTGGACCACAGGACTGAAAACTGATTTACACTCCCAAAAATAAAAGTTCCTAAAGAGCTCTTGGCTTGGATGTACAGTTCTACGGAAGCTCTTTAATAGGTTTCACATTGTGTAGAAGGTTCTACAAAAAAACAAAAAAAATGTTCCTCACACTTTCGCATCTTATTTATAAAAACTGTTCTTTAAACAGCCATTAATTGAAAGGTTCTTCCGGGAAAAGTGGTTCATCCATGACTCCAAGGAACCTTTCCTTGCACCTTTATTTTTTTCTAAGAATCACTGTAGAGCAGTGTTCACCAGCTCCAATTCCGTAGTCCATCATCACCGCACAGTTTCATGTTAGAAACCTGATTTGGTTTAACATACCTGATTAACCTTCAAAAGAACTTGACCACTTGCTTGTTAACTGGTTAATGATATGACTCAGGTGTAGATAAAACATGAAACTGCTCAGCGCAGGTGGACTGCTGGACTGGTGATGGGGAACACCTAAATTCTACAGCTGGCAGAAATCAAAGCATAACGCAGACCTTGTTTACATTTAGGTGGACAGGCCTGCCAACAGTGGTGACCTGAGTTTGCAAAATGCAGCTTGATGTGACAGAAATCTGTGATGATGCAGATGATGCATGCTTGGTTTGATGCCCACCAGAGCAAAACCCCTGGTGCTGATACCCCATCTCTCTCTCTCTCTCTCTCTCTCTCTCTACATATATTTCAGTTTCTTAGGCTGTCTGGCAGCTCTACGTACCCAGTCCTCGAAGTGGCGGCTGCCATTCTGCAGCAGGTCCTCGAACTGGATGGTGCAGTTGGCCACGAAGTCGTCGTAGCCGATGGGCGCATCGTGGAAGACGGACAACTCGATCTTCTTGCCGTCGTACACCTCGGTGACGAACTCGTCGTTCCAAGCGGGGCTGTTGGTCTTCTGCTTGGTGGAGGTCTGGCCCACGCGCCAATCGTCCACGTTCAGGGCGATGTAGGTGTCCAGCAGAAAGCCCTGAGTGCGGGTACCCACGGCGTGGCGCAGCGACCACGGGGTGGGCTTCAGGTCCAGCGCCTCGCACACCTTGATCTTCAGCAAGCCGTTGAACACCACCATGATGAGCGCGAGCCCCGTGCAAACAAATGCAACCGGTTGCACCACGAAGCGTCTTAATCCAACGGCTCCATCACGGCGAACAGCGGCAGTGAGCGGCGAGGCATTAGAAGGGATGCTGCTCTGCTGTGCGGGCAAAAGAAGGTTCTTGTTGGCTCTTACGACATGAGCTAGACTGGAGCACACCAGACCACAGGTCCTCTTCTCAGGCTGAAGAGGAGGGAGACACAACTAGTGGAGCTCGAGCTGGAAAAAGAGCGAGTGCCGAACAGCAGTCAGGGAGGAGAGCAGAGACTCCGATGGTCCTTGTTTTTGTTTTTGTTTCGTGGTTCGGTGCTGCTAATGTGGACGTTTAGAGGAATCCCTCTGTGGAATAAACAGGCAGGTAGAGATCAAGCAGCGGAAATACTTAAGAAACGAAACGCGAGTGGACGTGAAAAAAGCGATCGCTCCCGTTCGCCAGGATCTCAGTACAGAGGAAATAGCCCGAACGTGAAGGTCTTCCAGTGGGCGGTGTGTGTGTATGCGTGAGAGAGAGAGAGTGAGAGAGGGAAAGAGAGAGAGAGAAACAGCCGAGCCGAGCCTCAGCGCGCAGCCATCGGGGCAGTCCTCCTCCCCCTCCTCCTCCTCCTTCCCCTGACGGACTGCTGGCAGCCTTTAACCGTCCGCTGTTGTGTCTTTCCGCGTGTAGCTCGTGTGTGTGTGCGGTACTGATGGCAGCAGGATCGTCCGCGCTGTTCGAGCCGCCCGTGTCCGCGCGCGCTGTGGGCTGGAGCTGCGCTCGCTTCCTGCAGCCTTCCTCCCTCTCCCCCCCCCTCCTCCTCTCCCTCTCTCCCTCCCTGCGCTGCGCCCGGGCAGGAAATGCGCAAAACACGTCAGCTGGGTTAAGCCGCGCCGCGTCCAGCCTGGGCCGGATGGGGGAGTGTGTGGACACAGACAGGAGAAGAGCACTTCTGAGTGTTTGTTTGTGTGTATGTGTTTGTATACGCGTGTGTGTTGGGGGTTGGGTTTGTGTGTGGGTGTTGAAATTGTAGTGTTTATGTGTTTGTGATGCCCTTAAATGGGGTTACATTACACACGTGTGCTCAGGCGCGTGTGTGTGTTTGTGTAGATGTGTGTGCAGGGCTCAATCTGAGAGGGGATGCATAGGGAATGCCGCCCCCACAGGTCAATATAAAGGACTACCCCCCCCACCACCACCACCACCCCACCCCCTTTTTCATTCGCTTTGGATTTCACACATAATGTGATTCATTATGTGATATCACCCAAGACGTTGGGATTTACACATGTTCTCTTTGATGGACGTAATGTACTGAAGCTCAATGGCTCAATGACCACCCCACATTATTCAATGTCCAGTCAAAACAGCCATTAAGTACATTTTTAGGAGATATTTCTGAGGAGAGGTGATATAATCCACTTGCATAAGGAAGGGAAAAAGCAAAAGAGAGTAAATGAGAAAAGAGGAGTTCAAAAAAATTATAAAAAGATATTGAGAAAATGTGACGCGTAACAACCATGCAAGACCCGGTAGACCACCAAAACTGTCACCATCAGTTATTGGCACTTAAAGCTTTAATCTTTGAGAGAGAGGAGAAAGTCAAGCTCCACTCTTGCTTGAGTCTGAAAGGCGCTGTCAAAAAGGTGTTACTGAGAAAAGGAAATAGACAAAAATAAAAATAGTAATAATAGTAATAATAATAGCAGAATATTTAGGATTTGGAGTGAGATTTTGTGAACTAATGAGCCTAAATTTGTAAGATTACTTAGACTGTGAAAAACAGAAAATGCAACCAACTTTTAAGACTGAACTTCGCTGATGTGAAAATGTATCTCTTCTTGGAAAAACTGAAAGCAAAACTCCCTAAAAGAAATGCAAGCTGTAATAAAGACAAAGTTGGGCACACTAAATACTGAAAAGTTTGATATTGTATTTAGTTGTTGAGGCTTCTGTGTGATTTTCTGTTTTCTGCTTTTTCACTAAAAATGAGTTACTTGGCCATTTTGACTAATTTGTAAGGTAAATAAATGAAGGGTTGTCTTTGACTTTTGCACAGTACAGTGTTGTTCTATAAGTAATGGAAAATTTAATCACAAAGCTTGAGCTATTTGGCAATGTATAACTAAACACATTTTTGTAGCGTTTTCTGTTTTAAAAATGTTCCCAAATGCTGATAATTTCATAGTTTGTTTGCCATCAACTAACATTATTTAATTTGGAAAACAAAAATATATAATTGCAGCATAATAATGAAACCTGTAATGTTGACAGTCCTTAGAGAGTCATACTCGTGTGAAGCACTGCTTAGCTCTTGCACTTGCTTAGCATTTAAGAGTACACTCAGTTCAGTTCAGTTCAGTTTCAGCTGTGTCATACACCAGCTGATCCTGCCCATCCCAGAGGATGCAGTTTGTGTTGTTCTCATTGGAATAGGAAAGCCACTCTGTCCACTGTTGCAATGTGATGCATCCAAGCAGCTATCTGTTCGGATGGAAGGAGACGAGGTGGAGACATTCAGCTGGAGGGCTCATCAGTCTGTGTGTCGTATTGAGAAGATATGGTGGCAGGTTTCATATGTAACCAATGAAGAATTGACAACAGACTGAGAGCAGCTTCTGTTCTTTTGTTGTCCTTTACTGATCTCTAGTGGTCGAAAAGGTCTTTGCATTGCTTTTAAGCGGAATATATTTTTTTCAAGCAGGCAGCTGGCAGCTAATGGCTTCTTCTTAGAAATTAAAAAAGCTAACATGGAGAAAATAAGCCTCTGAGGGTTAGACTAAAATTGCTACATTTAGCCTAATGGTTACAATCACTAATGCAGCGGTTGCATTATCCCAGTGGGTGGCACAGGCAGCTGGGTTTCTAGTGAAACATTAGGACCTCAGTGGTTGATTCCATACATGATTCCCTGCTTTCTGTGCTAATCCTCAGGCCTATTGCTTGTGGAAGTGTGAATTGGACTATTTTCTTATCACTAATCCTGTATTAATAGCAGGCCTATTTGCACAGCGGGCTTGATGGACAGACTGATCTGGTTAGGCCTTCTTATCTTCTGGTTAGAAATAGACTGCTGCCCACACTGACTAAGACTGTGAAAAACTGAAAATGTCCATAATTGGCAGGTTCATTCTAATTTAACATAAATGCAATTCCATTTGTGTCCTGAAGGGGGGAGTGTTGGGTGTGATTTGGGCAGAAGCAGGAATCAGAGCTGATGGATGCCCTCATCTCTTCCTTATAAAAGACAGTGTGGATGCAGCACTGCATCACATGGAGCACTAGTGGAAATAAGAGTTTAGTGCTTAACTAGCCTCTAAATTAGCCTCTAAACTTACAGAGTCAGAACTGTTCACAGTGATGATAGGAACCAGACGTCTGAAGCATTTAATGCCCCTATGAAGCTACCAGAGAGAAAGCCTTTATATAAGACAGTTATGATATTGCCTGAAGCCTGACACACTGTTTTAGGATAGTTTTTCTATATTGATAGTTTTTGTTACAACGTATTTTAATGTACATACAAGCTGTAAAATAGCAGCAAAATAGCTCCCAAAGAAAACTGTTTTTAAGTTTTTGAACTTAATTTTACCATCATCAACATTACGTATATTATGTCCAAAGAAATATATATCTGCATTTTTGTCCATTATTTGAATGAAGCAGCTGCCTTTTACTTGTGTGAAAATTTCATGATGAATGGACCAATAGAAATGCTCCAAAGGAGCTTGGAATAAATTCTCTTTACTTACATTAAAAGTTAGGAACATTGTAAAATTGCCATTTTGGAGTTACTTATTTTTCTTTGAATAGCAATGATATAAAAACTAAGAATATAGATAAATGGCTACATTCATGTTGTAAACATCACAACTCTCATTCCTATCACCCCTGCGTTTCCCTACAATGCACCATTTCACACCACCTACTCTGAATTAACGTATTCAGAATATTTGCAATGATTGAATCATGCAGAGATTTAGAAAAATCTTTAACTCTGAAAGTTCAGAGGCAGGTGACTAAGGTGTACTTATTTCACACTAATTATTAATTGATGAATGCATTAATTCATTCGTCCATTTATTTGTTCTTTTAAATAACAGAAAGTGTGTGATTGTTGCTACTTTTCTGTTACTACTTCATCATCTGGACACAGACACAAAAGGAACATTGTGCAGCTGGAGCAAAACACAGAGAAGCACAAACTAGTGGAGAGGGAAGGAGAAGGAGAGGCTTCTCTAATCATATTTCCATCACAATCATAAACATGCTGACCACGAAGCTGGCTTGTAACACTGTGTGTGTGTGTGTGTGTGTGTGTGTGTGTGTGTGTGTGCGCATGTGAGTTTGTGTGTTTTCTCTTGTGCTCTTCTCTTTGCCCTTAAAAGGGGTTACATTTCGTCACATACTGTGCTGAGTCGGGCCAAATTTGAAACCAATATTTACTATTTACTGAGCTCTCACTGACATAACAATTACAAGTCAAATTACAAGGGGGTTAGTTGGCTCTTTTGCCCCCTTTCCAACACACACATAGATGAAACTAAACAAAGCAAATAAAAGCAAATCACTCAGTAGTAATCAACATCAACTGACTGATGCATTTTATTTTACTCAAGCAAACAAGCAAATACTCATCTAAAAATGCTCTGGGAAACATTAAAAGGACTGTGTCAAATTCTTTACTCAAGTTAAAGTTTTCTCATGTTAAAAGTAGAAACCTGTTCATTTTACTTAGAATATAAAATTCTCTCAAAAATGAGAAAGAAGTAAAGCCATGAAAGGTGAATGGTTTACCACACAACTTTTCCTGTCTTCTTACTGGTTGAATTATCATTCATATTACTGCTACTCAAGGCCGGTTTCACTGTACAGAGACGTTCCCTAATCACTTCTCTACTTTACTCTGTACAGAGACGTTCCCTAATCGCTTCTCTACTTTACTCTGTACAGAGACGTTCCCTAATCACTTTTCTACTTTACTCCGTACAGAGACGTTCCC